GGATCATGGGCCTTGTGTGCCCACTATCTCTCACTGCACATAACAAGTGGGTCATGGGCTTTGTGTGCTCACTAACTCTCACTACACATAACGAGTGGGTCATGGGCTTTGTGTGGCCACTAACTCGCACTGTTCATAACAAGTGGGTCATGGGCCTTGTGTGCCCACTAACTCTCACTGCACATAACAAGTGGGTCATGGGCCTCGTGTGCCCACTAACTCTCACTGCACATAACAAGTGGGTCATGGGCCTCGTGTGCCCACTAACTCTAACTGCACATAACAAGTGGGTCATGGGTATTGTGTGCCCACTCTTTCTCACTGCCGATAACAAGTGGGTCATGGGCCTAGTGTGCCCACTAACCATCACTGCACATATCTAGTGGGTCATGGGCCTTGTGTGCCCACTAACTCTCACTGCACATAACAAGTGGGTCATGGGCCTCGTGTGCCCACTAACTCGCACTGTTCATAACAAGTGGGTCATGGGCCTTGTGTGCCCACTAACTCTCACTGCACATAACAAGTGGGTCATGGGCATTGTGTGCCCACTAACTCTCACTGCACATAACAAGTGGGTCATGGGCCTTGTGTGCTCACAAACTCTCACTACACATAAGTGGGTCATGGGCCTTGTGTGCCCAGTAACTCTCACTGCACATAACAAGTGGGTCATGGGCCTCGTGTGCCTACTAACTATCACTGCACACAGCAAGTGGGTCAAGGGCCTTGTGTGCCCACTAACTCTCACTGCACATAACAAGTGGGTCATGAACCTTGTGTGCCCACTAACTATCAATGCACATAACAAGTGGGTCATGGGCCTCGTGTGCCCACGAACTCTCACTACACATAACAAGTGGGTCATGGGCCTTGTGTGCCCACTAACTCTCACTCCACATAACATGTGGGTCATGGGCCTTGTGTGCCCACTAACTCTCACTATACATAACAAGTGGGTCATTGGCCTTGTGTGCCCACTAACTCTCTCACACACCTGGCATAAGTGGGTCATGCACCTCTCTGTGCCCCACTAACTATCTCTGCACAACAAGTGGGCCATGGGCCTTGTGCCCTGCCTCTGCAGCGAAAAACAAGTGGGTCATGGGCCTTGTGTGCTCACTAACTCTCACTGCACATAACAAGTGGTTCATGGGCATTGTGTGCCCACTAACTCTCACTGCACATAACAAGTGGGTCATGGGCCTTGTGTGCTCACAAACTCTCACTACACATAAGTGGGTCATGGGCCTTGTGTGCCCACTAACTCTCACTGCACATAACAAGTGGGTCATGGGCCTTGTATGCCCACAAAATCTCACTGCACATAACAAGTGGGTCATGGTCCTTGTGTGCCCACTAACTCTCACTGCACATAACAAGTGGGTCATGGGTCTTGTGTGCCCACTAACTCTCACTACACATAACAAGTGGGTCATGGGCCCTGTGTGCCCATAATTCTCACCGCACATAACAAGTGGGTCATGGGTATTGTGTGCCCACTCTCTCTCACTGCCGATAACAAGTGGGTCATGGGCATTGTGTCACCACTGACTCTCACTACACATAACAAGTGGGTCATGGGCCTTGTGTGCCCACTAACTCTCACTACACATAGCAAATTGGCTATGGGCCTTGTGTGCCCACTAACTCTCACTGCCGACAAAAAATGGGTCATTGGCCTTGTGTGCCCACCAACTATCACTGCACATAACAAGTGGGTCATGGGCCTTGTGTGCCCACTAACTATCATTGCACATAATAAGTGGGTCATGGACCTTGTGTGCCCACGAACTATCACTGCACATAACAAGTGGGTCATGGGCTTTGTGTGCCTACTAACTATCACTGCACACAGCAAGTGGGTCATGGGCCTTGTGTCCCCACTAACTGTCACTACACATAACAAGTGGGCCATGGGCCTCGGGTGCCCACTAACTCTCACTGCACATAACAAGTGGGTCATGGGCTTTATGTGCCCGCTAATTCTCACTGTACATAACAAGTGGGTCATGGGTCTTGGGTGCCCACTAACTCTCTGCATATCATGTGGGTCATAGTTGTGTGTGTGCCCACTCTCTCACTGCCGATAACAAGTGCGTTCGCCAGGCGCCCCGTGTGCCCTAACCATCACTGCATATATTTAGTGGGTCATGGGCCGCTATTGGCCTTTTAACTATCACTGCACATAACAAGTGGGTCATAGGGCCTTGTGTGCCCACTATCTCCCACTGCATATAACAAGTGGGTCATGGGCGTTGTGTGCTCACTAACTCTCACTACACATAACAAGTGGGTCACATGGGCCTTGTGTGCCCACTAACTATCACTGCACAGAACAAGTGGGTCATGGGCCTTGTGTACCCACTAACTCTCACTACACATAACAAGTGGGTCATGGGCCTTGTGGCCGCCACTGACTCTCACTGCACATAACAAGTGGGTCATGGGTCTTGGGTGCCCACTAACTCTCACTGCACCTAACAAGTGGGTCATGGGCCTTGTGTCACCATTAACTCTCACTACACATAACAAGTGGGTCATGGGCCTTGTGTGCCCACTAACTATCACTGCACATAATAAGTGGGTCATGGGCCTTGTGTGCCCACGAACTATCACTGCACATAACAAGTGGGTCATGGGCCTTGTGTGCCTACTAACTATCACTGCACATAGCAAGTGGGTCATGGGCCTTGTGTGCCCACTAACTCTCACTGTGGATAACAAGTGGGTCATGGGCCTTGTGTGCACACTATCTATCACTGCACAGAACAAGTGGGTCATGGGCCTTGTGTGCCCATAATTCTCACTGCACATAACAAGTGGGTCATGGGTCTTGTGTGCCCACTAACTCTCACTACACATAACAAGTGGATCATGGGCCTTGTGTGCCCACTATCTCTCACTGCACATAACAAGTGGGTCATGGGCTTTGTGCGCTCACTAACTCTCACTACACATA